AGCAGCATCAACGCACAGCCAGGCCATCAGCTACAGTAACATTAGATGCAATGCACGCAGTCTTACCCAGATGATCTCATGCCCGAGGACACTGGAACATTTTTGCCAAACGCGGCCAAGTCTCAGCTCAGACCGAGCACTTCTGACCACCCACTCCCTGGTGCCGGCTGGGTGGCTTTCCACGGCACTGATGACTTTCAACAAGCCTTCTCTGAATTGCACGCTCGCATCGAAGCCCAGCTGTCTTCCAATTTGCAGCGCCCTTCCGAGCATCGTCACAGGCCGGACAACTTTGCCTGCTTGTTGGCACGCTCGGAGCCACGTGGGCCCTGCTACGTGGCCACCTAGCAGGCGGCTCATTGCCGTGCTGAGCTCCGGGGAGGTTTCGGATTTGTAGAAAAGCAAAGCATCCTCCGCTGCATCTGTGAGGCCGTACCACACTGTAAAGCTTGCTTCCAGGCATTGCTTGACCAGGTTTGTCGCGGTCAGAGGGACGACTCTGGGACCGCCCAGGTCTTTCAGAATCCGGCCAGTTTCTTTGGCCATTCGGTCAATGCCCTCAATGCTCTTCACTGTGGGCACCGCAATCACCAAGCCTTTACTGCAGTCCGTCATGCACTCTGCTGCACGGAGGTCTCTAACTTGGATGCTTCTCAACTTTGTCAGCCTTTCGTTCTCCTTGTTGACTTGTTCCCGGAGCTTCTGCCTCGAAACCTCATCCAGATTCGTGAGGAGACGGATTTTCGCAGTCACACGATCTGCAAGGCTGCTGCTCAGCTTCTTTTGTTTTGCGGTCGTCCGCTCTGCTGCTGACTGGTTTACCGTCTCGAGGCAGCTTTCCAGCTTCGTTGGATCCATCCCTGACATGGCAACATCACCCGCGGCCTCGATGCTATCTTTTTGCTCCTGTCGAATCCGCATCAATGCAGCCATGCCAGTCTTTCCAACCTTCCCGGGCGCCATTCGCTTTGGCAATCTGATGTCGGGAAGCTGGCCAGGTTTCGGCTTGCGGGTGTTGCTCTTGCCACTGAAGAGCCTCTGGTACATTCTCATCACCTTCAGGGGAAAAACTCAGTCTGGTTCAGGGGGGGATCTGGTCGGGACCGGGACCTGCAGGCAAATGAAAATTTCAAATGCCGACCGACGGCCTGCCTTCAGACCGAAGGCTGTCAAGCTGTAAGTGCGGTCACCCCTCACGGAATGATGGGCCACTGCGACCCCATCCAACAGCACCTTCAGACAGCTCCGGCGGTTCATCGTGGTCATGCTCTGCTTCTGCTCGTGGCCGTAGCCTCGCAGAGCCGCGAGATTCTGCTCCAGGACCCCTGTTGACTCGAACAATGTGAGCAACAGGGAAACCTGAGTCTGTTTTGGGGAGCGAATCTTATTATTAATTGCCAGCAGTCAAAAGCGACTCAGCTTATCACGCACTGCGGCAGCACGTGGAGTTTCGGGGCCCAGTGCAGCATGACCTGCCCCCAGTACTCCGAGGGGTTCACGAGGCCTGCCCTCAGCGAGGCAGCTCATGAATCAAACAAACTTCAGGATGAAATTGACGAAACTGCCGTAGAATCCAAGACTGTGACTTCAGGAGCTGAACACAGCTTGGCCGGACCAAGTTCAGTTCGTTCAGCAGGTCCCGGCCCTGCAGCACGAAATTATTGTTGCAAGCACTTCGAGCACTGAACATGCAAAGTACCCCGCCGTGGCTCCGAAGAGCTTCGCGAGCTCGTCCAGGGTCTCAGGCTTCGTTACAGTCGAGGACTCCATGTCGAACGCACCGAACCCCTGCCCCAAGCCCACTTCGTGCTCCGTCTTAAGCTCTTGCAGGTACACGCGGGAGACGTTTTTGATCGAGCCCATCTCTTTCAGGAGTGTCGCCTGGAAGTCATCGTCGGAGAGTCCTGGGACCACGACTACTGTTCCAAGGCCAAGGGCCTGAACCGCAAGATGAATACATCCAAGATGATCTGGCCTCGGCCACGGTACAGCACCTTTCCGCCGGCGCCAAGCGATGTGCATGCTGCAATGCGGCCTCCTGGGGAGTGCAATGACTTGAAGTAACAGTAGCTAACAAGCCCTGATTACAAGAATCCGTCTGCCTGTAAGACATCCACGCAGAATCTGCACAAAGCCCTTGGTAAATCGCTGGTCCATGACCAGAGGCGGCTTGTTCGTCTTGATGTCAAATTCAAACAGACGGCCCAGGTCCTGGCATGCGGCACATGTAACCCGGAAATGACTGGCGGATAGACACGACTGATGCCCTGCCTTCTTCAGAGTGCCCATGGACCGACAAACGAACGCCAAGTGCCCGATCGGGTTCCTCTTCGGGTTCCCTGAGCTGTCGCGACCCAGGTTGTCCCAGCGATGGACATAGCCGCTTACTGTGCTGGACCATTCTGCTATCAACGAGAGCAAAATCAGGTTCTCCGTCGTAAAGACCTGGGAGATTGGTTGAAATATGCGTCGTTACGTTAGGCAAGTTCAGTCTGCTTGTCTGATGAAGTAACATGTGCCAGGCAACGTTGTCCAGCAAGTCCGCCGCCCAGGGGGCGGCCTTGCCATCCATGGAGCGAATCTCAATCAAGAACTGCAGGATGGTCGAAATACGAAGAACCACGATGCGAAGAACAGCAGTGACCGTGTCGAATCTGTGCTGTGCCCAGTGCAACGACTTTGAGCATTGCCTTATATCATCGCATTCAGACATTCTCCTTAAATTACAATTGTCTTAGCACTGGCCACATGATACTTCGTACGTGGCCGTTGTCTCATTATTTACTCTGGACTCGGGGTGAAGGTGTCAAGTGTTCACTGGGTGGACCGGGGTGGGGTTTGTCTGAGAAGTACTTCGCACAGCGGCTTGATCTCGGCGATTTCGTCGAGCTCTTTGAGCTCAGTGGCCCTGAAGTGGCCCTTGAGCTTCGGCGAGTTGCCCAGGCCCCTGGCGAGGGAGCCGTACCCTTAGCTGCACGACTGTTCATTGATAACCACTCGCACTTGGGACTGGAATCCTACACTGTCTCAGTTATAGTAAAATATCAAGAATCAGAGGGGCCGGTGCCAGAATCCGAGGAGAATTTGGTGACCACTGCCGTCAACAACTTGTCGATTCTGCTGTCACTCCGAAGCGAAGTCTCCATTGTTCGCTGGGCGGCATGTAGGTAGCACCGGAAAACAGTACGCAAACCCGGAAACAGTGTGGATTTGCATAGAGATCCAGCCAACAATTCTGCTGGCTCTCCATCTGTACACCAGCCCTGCAAAGGGCTTCTGCGAATCCCACCCAACCCGCATGCCCCCGATCCTGGCACCCTCAACATTAAATCTGTTCCTTCCCCCTATGTCCATGCAGGTCCCAGGTCCACATAATATGGGGTAACCAGTGACGTGGGTTTGCAACGAGACTTACTTCAACACCAAGTCGTGATGGCCCTTAAGTTTGGGGACCTCAACCTGTGGAATAAGGTGGCCCGCCTGAACGGACTTCTTGAAGGTGTCCACCAGCTCTTGGCTGCGGTCACAAAACTCCTGGATTGAAGCTTCCATCTGGTCCTTCTTGTGCAGTGCGATCTTCGAAGTTGACTCGCACACATCCAGCATACGGGTTCGGACACCGAAGTCGGTCGTCACCCCACGAAACCTGACGAGCTTCAGGCTTCCGCAAACGTCTTCCGCCACCGACAAGCATCTAAATCCCGGACGCTTGAAAGCCGCTCTATCCTCTTCGAAAAGTACAGCCGCCATGGCCTGCACATTCTTGAAGTGTTGGCCGGCATCCGATCTTGCGAACGGAAAATTCGCTCTGTCGGCACGGCTTCCAAGACTGCACATTCTTGCGTATTCGGCTCCTTGAGCGCTCAGCGGATTGTTCAGAATTTCCTGAGATAGCAAAAGCTGTGCGATGGTGGGTGTGGTGTTGCTCTTGCCGTCCACATGCTCATGCTCTGTCGTCTCACTGCCTCGGCTCGCGACAGCTGCTAGATGCTGTGGCGACCTGGAGTGATCAAGCAGGTCGCATATCTGCAGAGTCGCCTGCTTCGCAGCGGGCCTGAGACTGGACTTGCCGTTGGAAGGTTCACTAGGAGCGGGAGAAGAGTGATTGTGTCACGGGACAGAAATATGCAAAATATCCTGGACATGCAGTCCAGATGCTTCATTCTGCCCTTGAGCCCTGTGATGTAGGGCGACGCCATGCTGTCCTTGGCCTCGCCATTGTATTCGAAACAACATCGGCATCTAAGGCCAAACGGGGAGGGACTCGTGGACGCGGCCTCCAACCATGATTTTTGCGTGCCATTCGCCTCCAAATACACGCAGCGAGACTTCCAATTGGCCCTGTGCTTATACCATCTGCACTCATTGCACGACGCCAGCATTTTGTTCACCTCACTTCACTTTGCGAGACTTAGTAGCACTGCCTCCATCTCTAGAGGATGATGTCTGTTGAAGTGTTCACTGTCGGCACGGGTGCAGAAAGAAAAAACGGCAGTCAACAAACCCGAATTGACAAGACCTTTGCAACCATGCCGCGGAACCCCCATGCTTCCTGTAGCACGCAGCAACATGCTTCTCCTCATTCGCGGTCGATGCTGGCCCACCTCTCGTCAGCAGGGCCCAGGCTTTCGAAGGTCCAGTGGAGTCAACCCGCTTCCGTGCCACCTCTGTGGCGGGGCTGCTTGCCGGGCTGCCGTCGGCAGCAGTCTTCCTGTGTTTCCTGGGGCTCCCTCCAGCTGAGTCAGAGGTCAGGCTTCTTTTCAGATTCGATGCCGAATTTCCGCCACCAGGCTGGCCACCGCTGGCAGACGATGAGCTAGCCGCCATGAAAAGTTTGCTCAACAATGAATCTTAGGCATAAGCAAGTGGCTGACCGTCATCACAGAAATCTGGGACGACAATCTGAATCTGAAGCCATAGATGCCATAGATTTTAATTCTGGGCAACCGACTAATTGATCTCCTCCGTCTAGCAAGCACAGCAACGTGGAGGGACATGCGCATGCGACCAGAAAGCTGCGAAAAACCCATTCATCACTACTGCCACCTGAGTCAAGGCCCAATCTGGTGTCAGACATCAACAGCTTGTATGCTGGCATGCAAGCTATTATAATAGTGCAGGTGCAGTGTCCCTGTGATAGTCGACCTAAACCGATGCATAACCCACGACGTGTCACTGGGTCTTCACCAGGTCAAGAAACTTCTGAATCCCTAGACCCACAACCGCAACCGTGGTCTTCGGACTGTTCCTGGGTTTACCTGTTCTTGCTCGCATGAAAATCAGCCCGGGCCTAGCTTAAATTGAATGACGAAGCCTGGGATGATGATGATTCTCTGAAGCGGGCTATTAACCAAGCCAAGGCTAGCCAGCAACACCTGCACGTCAGCTTCTGTCGGGCTTCCATCCTGGGGTTATGGCTTTGGGTACGACCCACGCACTTCTCCAAAGCCCTAAACTCTAGGCTGTTGGGAGGTTTGTGTCCATCAGGTTTCCCGGACTGAGCTAGTCTTTATTGAGCAGGGTGCTAATAATAAGATTGCCTTCGGCTGCCAGGTGGGGATTGAGCGACGCTTGCCAGGCCAAAAAGGTTGGCGGGAACCTATTCCTGTTGATTTTCTGTTAAGAAACCTTAAACCCTACCTTAACGATTACTATTCACGGTTTCGAATTCAGTAGGTTTAGGTTTGCGAGGTGTTACGAGGTTAAGTTCTAGGCAAGCCTAGGCCTAAGCAAAGTTGTAAGGGCCAACCGCAACCAACCAAGCAAGCGATTAACCCGGACCCAACGTAAAGATCCCAACTGCCCGAGTGCATACAGCAAGCTACATCCGACACCAGAACCAAACGACTTGACAATTGTCGCCCGAGGTATCCCAAAGCCCACCTCCACCAACACATCATCACCCTAGGATCCCGGAACAAACCCAACCCGACGAATCAGTGAGAGGCCATGCCTGTGCCAACTCACTGATTCACATGCTCAATTCGGGTCAGCAAGCTAGCCCAGGCAGTGGACTATACATATAATAGGAACCCTAAGCCTAAACCATACCACTGGTAATTATGTAGTTTGTTTTAATTTAATAGATAAGAAATGACAATAGTTTCCGTTTGATTTTCCATCCCTCGAAGGAGTACGCCCTTTAAAAACGCTATAGAACCCTATGAAGCCCTATGATAGAGAAGCCTAAATAATTAGTAATATTAGTCAGGGGTTCCTCATACGCTATGGTACAATAGTAATCAATAGAATAATACCCGCCACCCGCCCCGCCGCAACATCAAAAAACAACTATTGAACCCTATACCCCCAAAAGGGACCCCTAGTTTTGTGAAACTCCCAGCTACCAAAAACCCTTCACCCTCAGCCCGACACCCCCACACACACACAAGAGCACGAAATTCAATAAACCCTAGACCCGCCCTAAAATAGAAAAAAAAGTTCAAAAGCCGAAACCATGAACCCCCGACCAAACCCCGACACACCCGAAATACCATCCCCAGGTCCCTGACCCTGCCCCGCCCAACCCCGAGACCACAACGGCAACGTGGAGGCCAGGCGGCATCAACCGAGCGAGGGAACCTGAACAGAGCAGTTGAGAGGTACCGGCGCATGGGTTCTTACCATGTGAGCCACGAGAGACCTTCGTATGATACGACATGAACTTTAGCTTCGAGGTCCCAAGGCCGGTTTTGACTTATTTGAATTGTAAAGTAAAGTTGTTACAGCTTCTATGAACCGTGCTGGCTAAGGTGGCATCGCTCATCATGGCATGGAAAAAAAATCGTTTCGTCACTGTTTCGTCTCCTACCGATTGATTGGAGGGGTAAGGACTAAACATACTATACTAAACCGTTATGCCCAGCGCCTGTGGAATCGCCCCGCGCCATTGCCAGCGATCGCAAGGCGAAGGAAGGGTAGGGTCAACCGCTTTTTCTCGGGTGTTTGGGTGTTTCTAGTGGCTTCTTGGGTCTGTGGTATTATTAGTATCCTAGTCCTAGTCATAGTTATTCTAGTTGTTGATTGCGATCTCGATGCCACCATCTACCCAGCACACCTAAACCACTAATTCTATAGTATTAAAAAAGCCCTTCAGAAGCTGCAAGGGCTGCGATTTGGCGGAGCCCCATGCGGGCGATGTTCCTGCCTCGGGGCATTGGAGGGCTTTGCTGCTTGCGACGAAAGTTTGCAGCTTTTCGGTGGGCACCACGTCGTCTTCGTCAGTTATGTCTGCACAGCAGAACTTAAAGACGGACTGCACCACAGGCGGAAAGTTCCCCTGCCTCGACAATGACGGAGGCGACTGAGCAGCCTGGCTGCGAAGAGGGGTTACTGCCGATACTGCCTGCTCTGTGCCAAGCACAGCACTCCAGGACACCTCATGTCATCGTCCCACGGCGGTTGATGAGTTCAGTTCCTTGATGGCGAAGAATCGTCCAGCACTTCCGCTGTCCGCGTACCGGTCCCGCCTTCGAATTGTCTCGCAAGCCAACGGCACGGGAGTTCGGGCGGGGCTTAGGGGCCTAGGCAAAAGGAGCCACCCACGACTGAACTCCGAAGTGAAATCGCCCACGACCCTCCCGGATCCCGAATGATGGAGGACCGCTACGCCTATAAACCGTGCTTAAACCCGAAACGTCCTAAACCACCGTGCGTTTCGTTCGTCTTCTTTTTTGTTGAAAAAATTGGCCGAAGCCGGATCACTTTTTTTTCTTAGGGTCCTCCACCCTAAACCCGATGCCAAAATAATCTGAAAACCCTGTAATATTGAAACCTGGCTCCTCCTTCGACATGGCATGTCAACCCGAAGCAGCAAAGTACCTCAATCAAAGCCAAGCCAAGAAACAAGGCTATGAATGAATTTATGATAATCCGAAATGTAACCCCGAATGGCAAAGAAGACCTGAAGTCGCAAAATGCGATTGTCCCGACACTGTAAAGTCTCAACGCCCAGACCCGGCAAACCCACAACGCTGAACCCAAACCTGAAAACCCTTAACCACAAAACCCCTGTCCCAGAACCCAGAACCCCGTTCGTAAAGGCCAACACCTGATTACCCCAAACCCGGCTAATCAATTCAGCAATTGCCCGAAGTTACGTGACCACCCGGCCAAGGAACCACCCAAACCTTGAAGCCGAAGACCT